GGTAGAGGAATCGATATTGAGGGAGACATGTACCACCCATAGGGGTGAGAAGGGAATTTTTTTTTTTTAATGACTTTTGGTACTTCTTCAGACATTGCTGACAGTTACAAAAGGGGAAAATGATTTAATAACAAGGAGGAAGAAATACTTATTTTCAGAACTGCTTTATTATTTTTGCATATTTTTTATTTGCTTATTTTGTACATAAGTAGCTTGGAATTCTGTGCTTGTCAAAAAGAGAGAAAGAGAGAGAATTCAGCAAAGAAAAACCTTTTATATGTACAAAGGAGAAGGGTTATAAAACAAGGGCACCACTCTGCTCTAATCCTTATAGAGTACCTATTTTGTTTTGCTGACATGGGAACTATCAAAAGCTACATTTGCTGTTCACTTACAGCACATTGGTACAATATAAATAATGCAGCTTAGCTGATGGACTAACTTATTGTTCTGGTTGCTTGGATGCTGCCAGTGGGTTTTTTTTGTTTTTTTTTTAAACTAGCCTCACTCTAGTAAACCTTTTGGACCTAAATGTTTTAATGCAGGTGAAAAATTAACTGGAGTCAGCAATTTCAGATTTATTTTTAGGCCATGAAACTTAGTTCTAACTTTTTCTTGTTGAGTAAAAAAGTTTTCACCCTCACAAGGAACACTGCTTATGTGAAGACTCCTATCATAAGCCCCATTTTCCTGCCATGAAAGAAAGTTTCTTTTATCTCACCCACAAAAAGATTAGAAGCAAAGCTGGTATTCTGAACACAAGGGGGACCTCCATAATCATGCTCAGGCAGTTGAACTGTGGCTCTCGGCAACGTAAAAGTTATCTGCCTCACTGGTTGCAAAAATTAGAAATCAGTACCAAACCACACTCCAGTTTAGCTGCTGCACAAGTGCCTTATCATAATCAACCTGAGTTAATGTTCATTTTGCAAGCTTGTGGAGCAGTGTGCTGTAGAATACAGCACCATGTTTGCATGTGGAAATCTCTGAGACTCTGGCTGGCTAACTCTCAACAGTTCATGATCTATCCTGCTTATTTAAAGATGGGTTTCCAGAGCCCTCCTTTTATAGTGGCTGAATTTGTACACCACATCAGACAAAAATATGGTTTGGTATGGGCACTTGCAGACAAACAACCTTTCCACTTTGCAGCCCTTCGAATTTCACTTTAAAACACATCCCCAATCCATCTGGGATCTTCTAGTACTAGAACTCTATGATCCCAAGCATATCTAGAGAGTCCAGGGGGCTTATAGGGATCCACAACACAACAGCAATTTTCTTTCTATGCTGCTGGCCAATTGATGTTCTTTTGCTAAGCAGAAACTCAGGGTGCTGACCCAGCCCCTCAGATTCATCTGTACATACATGTTGCTTCCCCTCTTTACAAAACTAAAAGGTTTAGCAATCCCCTATGTTTCTGTGCTCCTCATTGGTTGGCATGCCAGCATTGTGGCTCCTTTACCCAATCATGCCAGTCAACCACCGTGGCAGAATTACAGAAACTGGGAGACAGATGAGTTGGTCTTTTCGAACAGAACCCTAAAGCAGAACTTAAAATGAAAATAAGGGATGGTTTGCAACTTCACCTTTAATACGGAAATCCCAGTCCACAGAAACAAAAGGGAAATAGCTACAGTAAATGTCTTACAATTGCAAGCTTCCAATCTTGATGTCATTTGCTCAGTAGGGCCCTTCTTCAACTAAACTGTAACTGCATTTTATTTAATAAGCTCCTTAGTTTATGGTTCAGTGCATTATGTGAACCTCAGTAATCAGGTTAATTCAATACACCATGTTTCAGTTAATCATAGTTTGTGTTATGCAAACAGAGTTTGCTTTATGAACCTTTAATTTAGGCTCATAGTCTTTCAGAATCTATTTTATTTTTTACTAGTTCTACAAATGGAGTCACGTGCAAAATACAGGATTGGGCCAGATATATATTTCTAAGTATATGACCCCAACCAAGACTTTGTTTTTAATATCAGTCCAGGGAAAAATACATTCCTCATTATCCTTCTATGCTTTCTTCATTTTAGCAGCCTAATTTAGAGAGGAGGTAGAAGCAGAGAGTCAGTGAAGAGTTAAGAGCATATCTGCATGTACTATTATTCTTCCGCAAATTTATGAGAAGATCTCTATCTATCTTCTCTTCACTCTTGTCAAGTTGGATCCAAGTTCATCAAGAATATGGTATGGCCTTGAATAGGCTAAATAACCTGGCAGCATTTCTTTATGTGGGACTTAGGAAATGTTATTATTTCTTTGTATAAATGTATAGACTCATCCAGCTTCCGAGACACCAGGCAGTTTATAAATTAAAATTGAAACACTAAATGAACCAAAGGTGTGGGTTCATTACTTGGGCTAATTATTAATCATCAGTTGTTTTTTAATTGGGCTTTTGTATTATGGTCAGAGCAACTTCTCTTCCTTTGAAATACTTCTCCCTCATATCCCCATTATCATTCTAATATTTTGAGAGACTACTTCATTTTCATTGAAAACTGGAAGTAATATGCAATGTTTTATGTACATCAAAACACACATGAGCAGATGACAGTATGGACACTTCCACATTATCACTGTTTTCACTTTCCAGTCCCTCAGAACCGGATTGAAAGTAATTTGTGTTCTCTTCACTTCTGGGGAATTGAAATGCTGAAAACCAGGAATGAAAATCACTGCCTTACTTTGAGCTGCCAGAGATCCTAGAGTAACAAAAAACACCTTATTCCCACCCTAAACAAGAGAAGGAATAAGTACCATGATGCATGGCATGTAGGGGTTCATTTCCTGCTATAAAAAAGAGAGGAAACTGGCAGAGATTTACATGGGGCTACTCCTAAAGAGTATTTGGAAGCTACAGCTGGTTCAAAATGCAGTCATGTGGACAATTTTGGGTGCCCCAAGGATGGCACATATAATACCTTTACTGCAGCAGCTGCACTGGGTGCCAGTTTGCTTCTGGGTCCAATTCAAGTTGTTGGTTATTACCTTTAAAGCCCTACCTGGCATGCATCCAGCTTACCTGTGGGACCATCTCATCCCCATCTCATCAACCCGTCCCACCCAGTCAGGCAGAGAAGGCATGTTGCGGACCCCATCAGCGAGAGAATATCGGCTGGGGGGGCCCAGGAGGAGAGCCTTCTCTGCCATTGCCCCCACCTTTTGGAATACTCTCCCCCCCAGAGGTGTGGTGGGCCCCTACCCTCTGGGCTTCCCAGAAAGGTTTAAAGACCTGGCTCTGCCCACTTGCATGGGGCAGTAAGAGTTCTAATCGACCCTGGGGTTGGCCAGCGCCTTGATGATGCTTCCTGAGCTATCCGTCAATTCCCATCATTCTTGGAATTTATTTATTATTATTTATTTAGGATTGTTTTTATATTATATTTTAACTGATTTTATCTTTTCTGTAAACTGCCCAGAGTCACTTTCTTAAGTGAGATAGGCAGTGACAAATTTGATATATAAATAAAATAAATAAAAAATAAATTTACTAATTTCACTCTATTCACTTAATGATGAAGAAAAAATGAAAACTTTTCAGGCCAGCATTTCCCTTACAGGATCTGCTAAGGCAGATGAAGTTCAGGAACACAGGAAGGAGAAGATAAGCTATCTCTCCAATGGAAGAAACTGCCACAGAATTCCAACATTTCTTGATGAAATCCAACTTTAGAGCAGTTCCTCTTGTACTACAAATGGGCTTGAATTGAAATAAATCAATTCAATTGCTGAAGAGCTGCGATGGCATGGGATCACAGAAGTGAGAAGGTCATTGTGGAGTAGGACAAGTGGAAGTTCTTTATGGGATGCAAAATAGATCACATACCCCAGCACAGAAGAAATTGAATGACAGTACTTGAGATAATATGTAAAATTAAAAAATCACAGAACATTAATAATGGGAAGTGAAAGGGCAGATTTGAAGTAAATCATCCAGCTTTTTAGAATATTTATGGCAGCACATAATCTATTTTATTTGCATATTAAGGTTTGAAAATCTAGGACCAGTTCAGGAGTGAGTGTTCTATATTCTCTATTGGTTTGCTTGTATCAAGAGACTTCTTCAATTGTTCTATAAAAAAATGTTGAAAATAAGGTCATGCCCTCTCATATCACCCCCAGTGCCCTAATGTTCTGCCTGAATTCTCCTCTTGCTTTCCCTCACCTCCTCACCTTCAGATGGGAGATCTAAGGCAGAGCTGAAAGTCACATTTGATTGACCTTAAGTTCAGCTCTTTCTCCAGTCTGGAACTCTGGGTCATATTATTTACCAGTTCAGCTAAATTTATACCTCCTCCTAAAGACTGGAGAACAAGAGACAGGACTGATGGGAGAATTTAGAGGGTGGAGTCCTTGTGCATGATCCTCTCCTCTACATTCTTCAATTCTCCCAAGTTCATTAAAAGCGACTGAACCTTGCTTCCATGGACATGAAACTCATGGGTTAATGTTTGTGTTAAGGCCAACCACACTGTCTTCAAGAACCATATTGTGTCTTAGAAAGGGCAGGGGAATGGAAAATGGGATGCTTACCTGTTTTAAAATGCCTGCTGCCATCTCATGACTGCAGTCAAAGATGACGTGGAATTCTTTGCCTCTTTTCATCTCCTTGAGCAAGGGCTTGGCATCCTTTGTGTCAGCTGGTAACTGGCGAATTTTTAGACGCAAATTGTACCTTGATGGAGCCTTAATGAGCTCTTGCAATCGAATGAGACCTTTTTTCAGAGAAATAAAATAAGACAAGGGTTATCAGTAATTGTTCTATTATTGAAAGAACAAAGGTAAGCTGTCAAAACGATAATAAACCAACAGAAGAGCTGCTAGCTTATCACCACTGCTGTACTTCTAAAATGCGTTTCTTTTCATATACTCACCGCTAGCTACAATACATACATAAACCACCATTTGAAAATGGTATCTGAGCACCTTCTTGCCAAAGCCTCTCTCTCTCCTTCTTTGCTAATATTGATTGACAATAAGGAGCCCAGAAGATGAGACAAATCTTCCTTGTCTGAGAATTACGGCAATTTTTAATCTCATAATATGTAGCAGTACACTAATTCACTTAGACCAATATGTTTCAGTAATAGTTTGTAATCACACTATTTTAAAAGTCTTGCATGTAGATTCCCCTCATTAGACTCCGCATGGAACATCCTCAGATCATCTGCATCAATGTTCTAAAGATATTTAGCCTCCTTAATCACTTAATTAGGATTGCTTCATTCATTGCAGTAATTCAGTTATTAAGTTCTGCATAACAGAAACTAAAGCTGCCATGTTAAAAATTTTACCATGTGGACTGACCACATCAGGGAAAAGATTCAACATTTACAACCCAGAAGAAGATGCACAACAGTTGCCTGTTGGGATGGAATAACATTTGTTTGCACTTATAGACCTAATGGGCCATCCCCCTCCCCCCCCAATAAATTCAGTGTAAGGGAATAAGAGTCAGCCTAATAAGGTAATAGGGCAAACAGAATTTAAGATGGGAAAAACATGAGAATGTGAAAAAAACAGAACTGACAGATGCATTCATCCCTACTTCTGAGACTGATAAAAATAGCAACTCTTTAATTATTTTATAGCAGTCACAAGAAACCTTCACTTGCTACAAAATTCTTTGTAATAATACACAGCAGCAGCATGATTTATCAGCTCTAACTAAAACTAAGCTTATTAAATACTAGCAATATAATACTAATACAAATCTAAACTGTAATAAAACTCCCTTACTTGATGACTTGTTCCTCCTTTGAAAAAAAGTTTAAATGATATCATCATCATCACCATCATCACCATCATCATCATCATCATCCTATAATTTAATGGCTCCAGTTCATGATGTCTGATTAGTGTCTGATTGCTTATGTGCCATGAAGTTGTTTTCGACTCCTTGTGACCACATAGATAGATTTCCTCCATGAGGAGTCCAATTAGTAACACCATCTTATTGGCAATGAAAAGGTGAGGAGCTACAAATTTAAATCTTAGGAAAAGCTGAATTTTCCTAATTATGTGAATTTTAAATAGAACTTCCCTTCAAAGATACTATCTTCCCTACTTATATCAAGAAAAATGGGTCACCCCACTGCACTCAATGGTTATGTGTGCATTATTTAGTAACAACATTTCACTCAAACCAAACAGCTAATTAATCCAAAGTTTTGCTGAAACCACTTCATGTGACTAAGAAAATGAAGAGATATTTATCTTTTGATACCTTCTTATATGTAAGACATCATCTATCAAAATGTTCTTCCTACAGGGCATTTCCTTTTCTCAAAAAATACCTTTTATCACATCACACTGCTAAACTCTACAAATATACCACAACATTTTGATGGATGACTACATATCACATATTTTAATTCAAATGGATACATAGCTAAGGGTTAAGTTTGTAATTTCATGTTCATAGTCAAGAGCAGATTCAGCTGTCTGAAACTTATTCCCATCTGCAGTATATAATGCCTTGCAGTATAAATCCAGGATTGATTGATATTTTAAATTATGGGCATGCATCTACTCAGTGTTATTTGATGTATTATTAACTGGGTGAAAGTTTCCCTTGATACACACCAAATTCCTTGTCCTTATTATGTTAGATTCTTTTTTAATTTAAAATTTTAATAAGTAGGAAGTTACACGCAGTACAGTGAAGTGTCAGCCTCTAACATCATTTCTGTTCCCAAGAATGTATCTCAACCCAATGTAGTCCTGCAGAAGCATCTTTTAAAAATAAAAATGGTGTGAGGCTACAACCACATTTTATTTGGAAATGAGCTCACAGAGCAGGGAAAGAAGAAAAGCAAAGGCAAACCAGGGTTATAGAAGGCAGGCTGGGAGAGCTGGATAGGAGGGTTGGGAAAACCTTGTCAATGCTTCTCATACATGGGTGAGTTTTGACTGATCATGTTCACCACGGCAATCATTTTGTAAATCATCAAACCCCAACACAGAAGGTGCTCAATGCAGTCTCCTAAATTCCAAAAGTCCCCATTGCCAAAAAGGTTACCTCCGCTGACTAATACTATAAATGAGTATAAATCAGGACCCCTAAGATCTCAGTGCTATATATACTCCCCTCAAAGCCTTGATTGCACTCCCCCCCAGCAATCTGCAAATTGGTGCCAAACTGTATTTTTTTAAATGATGAAAACTAGAAATTATGATTATATGACTGAAGGATAATTGTATAATACTATGTTTGATTTTCATTAAATATAAATTGTATTATATCAGGTTTAGTTTTTGTCTGCTTTTTTAAAAATACATCTCTCAGAGGCCAAATATGACCCTGAGCTTAGCACAGTTGTATAACTCTGTGTAGATGGATACTTAGAATTAATTTTGGGGATTCAGACACAGTGAAGTCAGAACTAGATGGAAACAACTTTCTTTAAAAATGAGAAATGTATTTCCTACATACTCTATAGCTTTGGCGATGTTTGTTAAATGCTTACATCAGTCATAGACCTCTTGAATTTTAAATATTTATTTATTAGATGGTCACCCACTTTGGAAAAAACAACTCTGTGTGACTTACAATTCGGAGGAGTATAAAAAACACTCCCGAAAAACCATAAAAACATCTAAGACCATTTTTTTTTACCATTTATGAAAACAAATAAATAAATAATCCATATTAAGCATTGTGAACTATTATTAGCTCATTATTTTACAAAAATGAGAAATAAGATTTTTATGCTTAGCTGGTAGGAATTTTACTGCACAGGTTTCTTGATAAATGAGACAGAAAAATGCTAAGGAAACTAGTAACATTGGACTACAGAAAAACTGGTTACCTGGAAGCCCTTTAGCATGTTTATAGTAAGGTAGACTTGCCCAGTTTAGTTTCCAGCAAAAGGCTTTTTGCACCACAATATTTATTAGCTCTTCATACATGTCATTTCTTTAAAATCAACCGATATCTCTGGCTGGGTCATAATGGAATTCCTGCAGGCTTAGCAAATGCTAGGCCAACTTTCTTCTCTTCAGGTAGTGTAGGAATCAGGAGAATCATCTAGTGGGCATTCCAATCAAGCCCAGCCTCATCTGCCAGTATGGCTCAAATGATTCCTTTTTCCTGCAGACATCTGTGAATTCAGAGTGAATCCATGCAGGAAGAAAACTGAATGTGTGTAGGGTTTTAAGTGAGCCATGAATCCTGGCTTATGTGGAATTCAACAAACAGATATCTATGAAAAGCTTTCATTCTAGCAGATAGGTATACTAAAGGCCAATTTCTATAATCCCTGAACAAGGCTTATGGAAAGACTATTCCCAATAATTCAGAAAGATGACACCAGTATACTCCATTTTGTGACAACCAACATGAGCCAATAGACAGAACATCTGATTATCACCTATGAGAGCTAGTAAGATACTGTCCTTCACCTTCAGTGAAGTTTTGCTTTAATTCTGTTGTCAGAATAATGTTCTGAAAAGACCAATCAGTCTTCATTTAAAGCATTCCATAAAATATAAATGCTCCCTCCATAGTTGTTGATGAAGTTGTCTTGATAATACAAAAACAGTTTGCCGTTGCCTTTTTCCAGGGTGTTGTCTTTTTTGTGTTTTGCTATACAATTATAGATATCTAGCTAGCTAACTATGGCTGACTCCCACCTGAAAATGGAGTGATACTCCTTAATGAAGGACACCCCCCCCATATAAACTCAAGTTTTTAAATAATAGCAAAATTAGGAAAAGGTAGCATGACGTTTCAACATGAATTTCTACTCTGCTTTTTTCTTTAAACATTTTTAGAAAAGGATTTTTAGTAGCAGCTGTATGTAGATGTAATGGGTGAGATGTACAGTATTTCCTACTGCATTTTCATCAACAGTGCGGATTGGACCCTTTAAACCCAACTGAAATACTTTTTTGACTCTGTAAACAAAGTGTTCCTCCTTCCTAGGAATGACAGTGCTTGGAGTCCTGCCACTCAAAGGCTATAAAAATGTTGAAGAAGGAGTTCTGTTCAGGAGCTGCCACCAGTTAGTATTTCAGGAAGAACAGGAGGAGATGTTTGCAAGACCTCCAGCTAGCAGCCATTTCAAAAGAGATTGGTCTCTTCCCTTTCCCATCAGGCTTCCCTTCTATCAGCACACCAAAAACAAAACAAAACAAAATCTCCCCAGTTTGCTACAAACACCAGGTCTCCTGTTCAGCAAGCTTACATGCCATCTTACCTGGGTAGTCTCTTTCTAGTAATATCCTCATTAGCAACTTAGAAGCATCTTTTAGACTCTACATGTGATTCTCTGCAATTGTCTCGTGGTTCTGTGTGTCCTGGAAGCAGGTAGGATAGTCTGAATAGAATCAATGTATACTAGACCTCAACACTATGAAGATTACTCTAACAGTGTATCACATGGAACAAGATAGGAACAAAACAGTAAGCATAATCCTGTTCCAATATACAAGATAGGCAAGCAGGATTATAAATTACCAATGTTTTGATGCTAGCTTACTTCCTGCTCTTTTATTATGTCTGCTAGCTTTTCTGCTAACATGTTTAATGCTGCAATACACAGAAGAGTGAAAAAGAAGAAAAAAAGAATAACAAATCAATTTATCACTAATTGATTATTAACTGTGTACTACAAATTCATCCACAGAAATGAACACTTAGACTCCATCATCAGAAGGTGATGTATTAACTATTCACAAATGTTGAGTATGTGAATGGATTATCAACGAAGCC